TTAGTTGCCGATTATTGCTAATTATTGCATTCCGCAGTGTAAAGGCGGAATCGTGTGTGAAGTTCGGGCATCGTGTATTTAAAAGGAAGGGTCCCATTAGCGCACTGTGCGATAGCGCACGAACCCGATAGCACACGAAAAATTTAATACAATTCCCGATAGCCCACGTCCCGATAACGCACCAACTTTGCACGTGAAGCGAGGGAGACGGGGTGGCTGCGGGAGAGGGGCCGAAGGCCCCTCTTGCACTCTTCCTCCCGTGTGTGTGTGTGTGTGTGTATGTCTTCGCATGCAAAGTTGTGTTTGGTGTGCTATCGCACCGTGCACTAACGGATCCCGCTCTATTTAAAATAACGCAGCCGATCGAGAGAGCCGAAATCAAGTTATCCGTTACAATCGATCGAACATTCTCGATCCGCGTTATTCGTACACGGAATGATGAATCCTTGCCAATTACGCAAGTGAATCGTGACTGGACATTGCTCGGAAATTTAGTACAAGATATCAGTTCTGCTAAATATACAAATTATCATAAATCGTGTGCTCCCTCGTTCTCGCGTGCTCTTTCAATTGCTCTTATTCTCGTACGTTCTCACTTGCTCTTGTAGTGCGCTTTTACTCGCACTCGTTATATATTATTTCCTGCTACATTCGCCGAATGAGCTCTCGCCGTTAATTCATCACTAACGCGTTCTTATAGAAGTGCTTTCGCTCCTGTCGTTAGCAAATTCGCTCGAGCCGTCGAATCGCTCTTATCGTAAGCGCTATCACTCACTCGTATCATTAGCGTTCTTGTTCGTTTAATTGTGCGCGCCTGGCGATCAACTGAGACTCGCTCCCGCGGTAACATTTACACAAATTGTCTAATTGGCATTTTGAGACATCAACTTGCCAAGAAACTGTGTACAAAATTGTGAATTCTTTTTATAAACATTGACTATTTCGTTTGACATTTAAAGAATAAATGTCTTTACGATTGATCATGCGATCTTATCCGTTTTCTATCCGATCCACTGTATCCCTATCGGGATAATTCCAGTCATAGGAACTATCTCGCATAATCCCGCACATATCCTATTTATATTTTTTATACGTGTTTATATTTTTTGTTTATATTTGTTTCACGGTTTCATGTTATATCTTATTTTTATATTTATATATTTGTTTATATTTGCTTTTGTTATAGTTTCAATGTCGCTAAGAGCTATCTGTGTGTGTGTGTATGTTAAATATTTACTTTAGCATATAATTTAACCCAACCTGTCTTTGAAGTGTAGAAAATACCTTGACATATGACACATATTTCACTTCATATTTATATGGTTCATGAGTTTATATAAATTTGCAACTTTCTATGCGAAACCAGATATATTCCACACTTCAGACACGGGTTAGGTTAGGTATATTTTCCGAAAGTGAAATCCCCCTGTAGAGGAGGCGAAACCCACGGTGTCCACATATGTACACGCACCTGCAGGAATGGTGTCCCGCTATGCTTGTGTTGACGCTCACTGACGTCACATTCACACAAGCGAAGCGCGCACGTACGCGAGCCGGGCAGCGGGAGAGAAAGTGGGGGTAGAGTACTGGGGGGCATTCCGATGTTCCGTCCTTCGCGCACGACACAAGAGCGAGAAAGAAAGCACTATAAGACGTGATACCGAGTTAGAGGTGTCCGATAGTCGTTCTCTCGCTCAGCGCTCGAACGAGAGAGTGCGAGCGAAACAGCTATATATTGCACGGGATACCGCGCTGTCTCTATACGCGTCTCGCGCGCTTTAATATCGATATCGATATATTTTTCACTTCTTTTTTTAACGGAGTTAAAATGTCTCTCTCCCGCTTCCCGGCTCGCGTACATGCGCGCTTCGCTTGTGTGAGTTTGACGTCAGTGAGCGTCAACACAAGCATAGCGGGACACCATTCCTGCCAATGCGTGTACTTTGCAAAACAAAGAAAGTTATATACAAACACTTTATAACATGAAATCGCGACGAGCAAATGTAAACAAAAAAATGTAAATACATCAATAGGACATAACGAAAAGATGACATAAAAGTATGAGACTTGAGACTCAAAAGTGCATATCTTAAAAACGAAAGGAGACTGCCGCAAAATTCAAACAACGTATTACTTAGGAATGTATTCTATACAACATATATGAAAAATTTTTCGAGTTCTGTGACCTAAAGTAAATTTTTTACCCTATCTTTAACAGCAGACATATCCGAAAGATATTCGGAGAACAAAGTTCTGAAAGCTGTCCAGAGATCTTTCATGTGTGATGTTAGAGATAGAATTATTATTTTGTATAAATTACTAGATGAAACTGCATATTAGCGATGATCTCATCAATTTTGATAACCTTGACATATATTGTCAAGGACATGTCACCTTGACATATATTGTCAAAGACATGTCACTGATTAATTTGTAAAAAGTGTTAGTCGTCGCTCGTTGTTTATTACAAAGTTATTTACAAAATAAGTTCAATGTTCCCGTGAACTTATTTTGGGTAAATCTGCATAAACTGTACTCTCAACGAGAGATTAGATGTAGAATCAACTTCCCTTCTTGCAAAGTACATGCGTAGATACAGTTGGTTCTAAACTAAATTTATTTTAAATCAAAAATAGGTTTTGAGTTAGGTTATATCTTCCGGAAGTGGCGCCTCCACGTAGGAGAGGTAAAATCCATTGTATCTATACATATGTATACTTTGTAAAATAAAGGAAAATTAATTCTACATTTTATTTTCTTTTGCTGAGAGTGCAGTTTATGCAGATTTATTCAAAATAAGTTCAATGATCCCGTATGAGTACAATTTTTTACATGAAATGAGGTTTATTCTATATTGCTCCCTCTCTCTCTCTCTCTCTCTCTCTCTCTCTCTCTCTCTCTCTCTCATTCTGTTTTCAATATAAAACTATACAATTTATTATTGTATACTTTCATATAGATTTTCAGTATTACACACAAAACGAGATTAACATTACTACTATGCCATCGGTTAGTCATTATCTTTAATTAATTATAACTTTGTTATAAATAACAAGCGACGGCTAAAATCTTTTGAATGTCACTCAGGGACATGTCCTTGATAACATATATCAAGGTCATCAAAAAACAATAAGATCGTCGCTAATATGCAGTTTTACCATTACTATTTTGCATAAATTTATAACGCGGTCGCCTTTCTCAACGCTCCGGATCAGCTCGTCGGATTGTCAGAATTCGAGAGAAGGGGAGAATCGAGGTTGTGCGGACAATGCAGGTGTATGGAAAATAACTTTTTATTTTAATAATTAAATGAAGTATAAATATGAAAGTATGCGAATGAATATGAGAAAATGTTGAAAGTATGCGAATGAATATGAGAAAATGTTGAAAATGTTGTATATGATGTACGATATAATCGCGCGGTGTGCGTTAAGATTTATTTACATGCGTGTTGAACAATACAGCAGGTGCTATACAACTAACAATTATCGCGATAAAGCCGAACAACGCGGTGCGTGTAAGCGGAACACGGAACTTATCTCTACGGCTAGCGGAAGTTATTTGTGTGTATAAGTGGTATCACGTAACAATCGGTACAAGTAACGATCACAGGAGCGCGTAACTTATCTCTAGGCACCGTGTAGTTGACGGGGCTGTGTGTCGGATCAGCTCGGAAGCCGGTAACACCCCGTAAAATCGAATGAAACCTCGACTCGGAATTGGTGACGGTAACCAGGAGACACCCGGTATAACGAGGAACATCTCAATCGGGACTGATAGCAGGTAACCGGAGACATCCAGTTGAATCGAGAAATATCTCGATTGGACGGAAAGCGAGTCTGAGAAATACCTCGGTTTCGGGAGATCTGGTCGAAGCGTTCGGTAAGATCGCAAGACGGGATCTGGTGTTCGTGTGCCGGTCATGGCTACCAGATTGCATACGCTGTGTCCAGCGGCGGCACGATTTGTATTCCCATCACTTTCGCACACTAAGGCATAAATTCTCATCCGTGTACGCTCGACGTTCGGTTATCTTCGGTTTACACAGGAAGATGGATAGATTAGCTTCTGTTCCCTTCTCTCCTGAGAAGTCTATTATATCTTATCTATCTCTCTGAATACAATAACTATGTGATCCTCGAAATCTCGAGCTAGCGAGTTAACGATGCAACATGTGTAACGTTTATTATCACATAATCTTTTCCTAAACCTTTCCCTATTAATTCTTTTTTTTTAACTTTATGTATTGTATAAAAAATGTATAACATTAATAAATAATAATAATTAATAAATAAATTTTATATAAATTTTTACATGAAAAGATAAATGTTATATTACAAAAATAGAGATATAGAAATGAAATATACAGGATATCTCAGACCACCCATACACCCTTTTTAAAATGAAAATAAATGGCTTTTATAAAATATCGCGAACAATTTTTAAGTAAATCGGATATACTCTATCAAATAGTGATATTTTCAACTTCTTATTTCGACTGAAAACACGTCATTCGGATCAAAAGTTGAATTTTTTTAGGGAAACATGGTACTTTTTTAATTACAGATTCGAATTGTACGTGAAAAAATAAAAAAACTTTTGTATCAAACATTTTTTCTGAAAGTGCCTCTGTCAATCTTAAAATTGACTTTGAAAGTAACTGTCATTTTTTTACATTTTCTTTTTAACGGAAGACATCACTACCTCTTGCGGTTTCCGTTGAGCAACAAGATGTACGTCATACATTAATACAAAATAATAATAACAAAATACAATTCTATTAAAATAAATTTAAATACTATTTTATTACAATTATTTTTTTAAATAAAAAAGCGTGCATATTGGTACATAAAAATCAAAAGGAAAATATTATATATGATAATAAGTATCGCACATGTTGCCGTCAATTTCTCAGCTCGAGATTTCATGGATTCAATGAATACAATAGACCTTCTCAAGAGAGAAGGAGATAAAAACTAATCTATCTTTCTCTGTCAAAGGTAACCGAAAGTAACCGAAAGTAGTCGAACGTCGAGCGTACACGGATGAGAGCTTATGCCTAAGGCGCGAAAGTGATGGAAATACAAATCGTGCCGCCGTTGGACGCAGCGTATGCAATCTAGTAGCCTTGGTGCCGGCCAGGCCGACTTATATACCCACTCGATCACATTCCAATGTTCGCCTTCCAAATGGGCCGCTTAGGTAAGGCCAATGTGTGAGAATGAGATAATACGTATGGCCAAGCGATGGAGCGAAGAAGACAGCAAGCGTCAAGTAATGCGTACGAGTGGGGTAGCGTGCGTGCGAGTGATACAGCGAGCAAATGTAAGCGTGGGAGCGAGAGAACGAATGAGCAAGACAGAGCGTCGATAGGAAGGCGATAGAATGAAAAAGAAGCATGCGTGTGTTATATATTGGGTTGAGGAAAAAGTTTTTTCGTATTGTCTCGGTAGATGGCGTCAGAATCGCATAACTCTGTTAATATTAATCGGATCTAGCAATACGTTTAAAAAGTAACATATAGAGAAATTAAAGAAAAAAGTTGTGATATTTATTTACTCAGTCAAAAATTATTAAGTCTTGGAAATGAGTGAAAATAAAGAAGAAATTCGATACATTTTAAATTCAATACATTTTAAAATTTTATTATAAAAAAGGGAAAAAGCGACTCAGGCTGCTAAAAAAATTTGTGATGTTCATGGACATGATGCATTATCAGTACGTGTGGCACAGAACTGGTTCAAGCGTTTTCAATCTGGAAATTTTGATGTCAAAGATGCACCTCGCTCTGGTCGACCAATAACTAAAAAAGTCAATGAAATCATAGAAAAAATTGATCAAGACCGGCACATTAGCAGTCACGATAAGGAACTAAACATCAACCACAAAACAGTTTTAAATCATTTGGAGAAGGCTGGATACAAAAAAACTCGATGTTTGGGTGCCACATGATTTAACAGTAAAAAATTTAATGGATCGAATTTCCATCTGTGAATCGTTGCTAAAACGGAACGAAATGAAACCATTTTTGAAACGGCTCATTATGGGCGATGAAAAATGGATCACGTACGATAATAATGTACGAAAAAGAAGCGTCGAAGCTGTGGTCGAAGCAAGGTAAAGCTTCGCAAATGATGGCAAAGCTAGGATTAACATCAAGAAAAGTGATGCTGTGTGTTTAGTGAGATTGGAAAGGAATCGTTCACTACGAGCTGCTGCCGCCGGGTCAAACGATTGATTATAATCTCTACTGTCAACTGGAAAGATTACGCCAAGCAATCGAGAGAAAGCGACTAGACTTGAATAGGAAAGGCGTTATCTTCCATCACGACAACGCCAGACCCCACACATCTTTGGCGACTCGTCAAAAATTGAGAGAGCTTGGCTGGGAAGTTTTGATCCACCGTATAGTCCTGACCTTGCACCATCAGACTACCATTTCAATCTCTACAGAACTCCCTTAATGGTGTTAAGTTGACTTCAAAAGAGGTCTGTGAAAATCACTTGTCGCAGTTTTTCGTCCAGAAATCACAGTTCTACAATGCAATCAAATTCTACAGTGATGGAATTATGGTTTTACCTCAAAAATGGCAAAAGGTGGTCGAACAAAACGGCACATATTTGGTTTAATAAACTTCATTTACAATATGAAAAAAACTTGTTTTATTTTTGCACTCAAATACGAAGAAACTTTTTCCTCAACCCAATATATATTTAACACATTAGTAATAGCGCATACGCGCCGTTACAAATTTTTTAATAAATGTTGAGATTATTTCAATAATCACGCAGAAATATAAAGTAGAAACGTTTATTCAAAAGTAATATAAAATGTATGGATATGCTACGTAGAATCAAATAAAGAATATGTTGCACGACGGGTTGAGAGAAAGACTAAAGGAGTAAAGGAGCGCTCGTCGCGCCAGTTATCGTTAGCAGTCGTCCGTGGTACAGACATCTATGTGTAATACTGTTGTGCGCCAAATACGAAATTTATGCACCATAATAAGTATTCGTATGTAAGTTCGTTTTGTCTTGTAAAGTACATCCGTGGATTTGGTACATTGTGAGTTCCGCCTCCTTTACTTAGGAATGTACCTCTACAATATATGTTTAAATGAAAATTTTTCATACTGTTTAACTTAAAGTAAACATTTACGAAAACAACAAATGCCATAATATTTTGAAGTCAATTCTGATCTGAATTTTTCTCAAAAATGACATTTTTCGTGATAAAAATTTATATAACACTTTATTTTGTGATAAAATTTATATAACACTTTATTTTGTGATAAAATTTATATAACACTTTATTTTGTGATAAAATTTATATAACACTTTATTTTGAACATTCGGTGTGCATATAAAAACGAAATGTCTCATAAATTTAAAATCAATTATTTCCTAGAAAAGGGATTTATATTTTACAAATTAAACCAAACTAAATATTGAAATAAACGTTTTTTATATATCCAATTTTATTTTAATTATTCAAGTGAAAAGTAAAATCACATATTTTTATTAATTTCAAATGAACTTTTACAAAATTGTAACTTAAAATTGATACAAAAATAATGTTGAAAATTGAAGATTTGATAAATAAATTTCTTTGCTTTTTTAATTTCTGTGTTTCGATTAAAATTTATTTAAAAATTTACAATTAAAAGTAACATTTATTCTAACAATATAACTCATTTTCTATAAAATGTAAATTCCTATATTAAATATAGATCCTATTTTATTTTTTACGTCATATTGTTTTATTTTAAAGTTATAAATGTTATATATAATCATTAACAAAAGTATATTAAATATCTCTATTATATTTAAAGCAGGAAATACTTTAGAAGATAAAAATTATACGTGACAACCACAATGAACAACAATCAAAGAAAATATCCAAAAAATCCACGACAGAACGCAAATCTAGTTTCTCTTCTTACTTTTTGGTAAGTTACAACAAATTATGTTTATTAAAAGTAATTATATATTAATAATTAATGTATATTCTATAATATTGTTCGTATGTATGCGTATGCGCTCGTGCATGTATGTGCGCGCGCGCGTGTAATATGTATGTGCATGTGTAAGTGCGAATATGTATATACAATAAGTCATGATAATAGCTTTAAAATTATATTATACAATATTTCTGGACCAAAATAATTTTTTTCTTAAAAATGTTTTTCTTAAAAATACGGATAATGCATCGTTTTTTAATTATTTAATTTTTCAGTGAAATAATGTATTTCAGTGAATAAATCTGTGATAATTATTTAGAAATAAAGAGCCACTTCTGATTTCAATTCTCACATATGTTATCAAGATTTTAATCGACAATGTTCATTAATAAGAATTATTAACAAAAAAAGTTTTAAAATATGAGTTTTAAGGAATGTCAAGTAGCATTTTATAATGTATAACGATTCTACAAAAAACGCGAGGGCAGAACAAGCGTTCCGTCTATTCCCGTCGCTTCCTCCCTAAAGATCTAATTTAAGCTTAGATTAGTCCTTTAAGTAAGAGTTGTCCATTTTGCACATTTCGGTCGATTTCTGTGAGTCATCGTTCTCTCCTTACGTCTCGAGAGCTTAATAACGAGCCACTTAGCAATTGTAACCAAGACGCGCGGCACTTTACTTCAGGTACGGCGCATCTATAACTCAAACTTTAAAGTTTAAAGAAATACGCGAATTCTTTCAAATCTTTTTAGATAATTAATTCAAAATGTATAACAAAGTTTCAATTCCCGATTATTAATTACATTAATAATAAAATATTTGCATTTGACAGACAGGGCGTAGGGAATGGTATCGTATCGTTTACATTATAAAGAAATATATCCCCAATAAAATGTAAAATCTTAGACATAAAATATTACAATTAAATTTTTAATCTGTGTTTAAAAAAAATGAAATTACAAAACTGACGGGATTCGAACCAGCAACATTCCTACTTATAGTCTAACGTCTAGTTTGCTACGCTACGCCGTGACTCGAAAAAAAGCTCTAATGCATTGGTACTAAAGGAGTGTGCTAAAATTCACACCGCGATTTTTCGTTAATGCTTGAGAGGCGCGTCGTCTCCGAATAGTATATTACCGAATAGTTACTACTATATGAATACTACATACCTGCCAAAGTTCGACGAAATAGATGACCCCAAGGGTTAAACTCCTCCTTGTGAGTTTCGAGAACAAAGAATTCGAATGAATTTCACAAAAATTTTTGTGATATTCGTTCCAGTAATTAATTCTATAAAAATTGGGAAAAGGAATAAATTGAAAAGATGAATCGAATCGTAACAATATTTATAGTATATTATTGCCGGGCGTAAGACTAATAAACTTTCCCGCATGTTTAATTCAATTACGCAGCTACCGATATTTTCTATTAACAAAACGAAATTAAAGACAAATCAAGTGCTCTAATTCGGAAGACGGTAAGTAATCCGATGTTACATAGGCTTGAATATCGCAAATACGGAACGGTCATAAGTCGTCCCATACTTGACAAGAAACTCTATTAAAATGAGGCGAAGACGTATTACATAGAACGCGAACAATTACACAAAATATCGAAACAATAATCACAGCCGAACCCCTTGAACATATGAATCGATGCTGCAACGTAATTGCTAGCTATCGAAAATCGTAATTACATGCGTGTGTGAGCTCGCGCAAACAACAATCTCAATTAACAATTATTCTACATAAAATTCTACAAGCAAATTGACTGTCGGCGTTAATAATTTGGGAGAAAGGGCACTTAATTTAAGAGAGCTTGAACAAAGTTCTTCGACCGGACGTCATATTTTACTACGCAAAATCTCGAAAAGTAATCTAACGACAACAGCAATACGGCATCGACATTGTTCGAGCGAATTCTATCTTAATACACGAGATAACGGTTTGATGAAATCGACGTTCGTCTCATCGATGGTTTAGAGCCGTCATCCTCTTTGCCTTCGGTTCACCTAACAGTGACGAGCGGGAGCCCGTCAGAGTCACGCCGGCAAATTAATAAGTTTTAGGCCATTTGTGGTGCTCCTACGTCCCTCAAGATCGTCGCCCAATTAATCCTGCGGCTTTCAGGGCCGTATTTGTGGCTGTCGCGCCTCTATCCTCTTGTAAATTCTTGGATGATCCTTTCTTTTTCGCCGGGCACGAATAGACATTTTTTTATCAATTTTTAGCGAGGAAGTCATCTCAAGATCTCACTGCTGCCGCCCCTTTAAAATTTATATTCTCAGCAGATGCGAGGAGCAATTTCGGGAAAGGTCACTCTAAGAAACCAAAACAACGTAACAGGACCACGAGTTGGACCGTTTAGGCAGAAATTAGTGCTGCAGGAAGATCAGAAACGGCAGCCGCTCGCCGAGGATTCCCGAAGCGCTCTGGGTGAAACCCAGCTCCGCCGCGCTCCACCGAGTAGATTCGCTCCATACCGTACCGTTTTTCCGCTGCGTGAGGCCATCCCGTTTTTATGCCGGCGCGGATTAATTATCTGGGGTATAAAAAGGAACCTCGGCATTATGACGGCACCATTTTTAGATTCCGCTTGCGACAGCAAGTAACGATTCGAAAACCAATCGATCCTGATAACAACCTCGAACCACAAACAGAAGGTGGAGAGCACTCCGCCTCAGCTGAGCACTCTCAGTTTCAGGCTAAATTCGGTTTAATTCAGTATCCGTCAAAGAAAATATTGGAGCAAACTCCGATACCGTCGAGAGATCGCTCGACCACGGCAAATATCCCGTCGCTTTAACGTCGTTATAATTAATTACAAGAAATAGAGAAGAGAGCTACCTCTGACGAGCTGCTCTCGTCGGTATGGCGTATTCCTGCGACTTTAATTTGCAATTAACAATTACACTTTTTTCGAAATAATTATGTGTTTTCTTTATACAAATTGGAGTGTCCCATTTAAAAAGGTGGAGTTAATCTTCACGTGACCTTCAGGTGACTCTTCGAGGTCTAACTAATGACACCATTTTATGTCTCCCTTGAAACCATACAACTTTTGTCTGAAACATTTTTTTGTATCTTTTAGACTTTACGAGATATTTGGATGTCTCAAGTTAAATGGGACACTATACATACACACACATACACACACACACACATGTGTGTGTTTCATGATTGAAGGTCCATACTTTAAGGGCGTATTGCTGATGCCATTTACAGTAAAAAAAGTTTAATAAACATATGTCCTCAAATGCTTCCTAATAGAAACAAGTATTAAAAGTTGAATATTTAAAAAAAGAAAGACATTTGAGTAAAAAAGTAAGACATTTAATTTAATTTGTTCATTTACAAATTCTGTTCAAAATGACATCCTGCAGATTCAATACAAAGTCTTGCCCTATATAAAAGTGATCTAACAGCTTACTCCATCATTCCAAGAGAATTTCTGATTTGTGTTGCCGCATCCATAATACTGTTAATAAATTCATCCCTATTGTGAGATTGTTTCGCATAAACCATCGACTTCATATGCCCCCAAAAAAGGTAAATAAAGATGTAAATAATAATAAATTAATAGAAAATATTTCACATATTCAAATTAACTTTCAATGCTTGTATTTCTGTTAGGAAGCATTTGCGGACATATGTTTATTAGATTTTTTTTACTCTAAATGGCATCAGTAACACGCCCTTAAAGTATGGATTTTCAGTCATGGGACACCCTGTATGTAAAAAAAAATGTTTGAAGAAAAAATATGTAATTGTTAATTGCAAATTACATATTTTTTTTTAAAAATAACTCTGTGTCTTCTTTACACCAATTCCTCTCATTATTTTGTACATAAAAGTATTAAAATAAATAATCGAAAAATGAATATTTTACAAGATAAAATAAAATATAGTAATAGGCCATAAAGAGCCAACGCAGTTGTAAGGCGTGTTTTTGAAAAAAAATCCATGAAAACGATCACATTAAACGATCTTTCTTCTTTATTGACATCAAACGTTTCGGACTCAGTTCGAGCCTTCTTCAATGATTCTGATAAGACAAAAAAAACCAAATAAAATAACATTAAAAACGCAGTCATTAATAGATAAGAGAGGAAAAAATATAGTCATCATACGTGCATAGTCTTAGAGAGCGACGTAAACTTGTCAAGGCAAGTCGACTCGAAGGAAGCCAGATGCAAGTAGCCCTTTAAGCGGTGCAAGGCGCAAAGAGCTATGCACTAACAAAATAAATGTACACGATATAGATACAAAGCCTTGCAATAAGAAAATCAAAATTAGACAAAGGCAATTCACTCGGACTCGAGAAGACGAAACGGAAACGGGCACGAACACTCAGCATGCACATAGCCGACTCACTGAAGAAGGCTCGAACTGAGTCCGAAACGTTTGATGTCAATAAAGAAGAAAGATCGTTTAATGTGATCGTTTTCATGGATTTTTTTTCAAAAACACGCCTTACAACTGCGTTGGCTCTTTATGGCCTATTACTATATTTTATTTTAATTTGTTATTTCGAGAGCCTTTAATTTTGTTTATCTTTTATTTTACAAGATATTTTACGGTTTATGTAAAATTAAGAAATAATTTCAAGCCTCATAACTAGGAAAGTACTTAATGAAAACTAACTAAATTATAGTGTTTTGCAAAGCTCTCGAGATGAGCTACAAGAATGTGCAAAAATATATAGGGTATTCTATTTAAAAAAATTAAAGTGACCTTCACGTGACTTTCAAATGACTCTTCAAAGTCAAAGCAATGACACCATCTTATGTCCCCCTAGAAACCATACAACTTTTGTCTGAAACATTTTCTCGATTTTTCATTATTTTCCGAAATATTTGCCTGGGGAAATTAAAATAAGACACCCTGTATATATTTTACCGTAAAATATCTTGTGAAATATTCATTTTTCGAATATCTTACCTTAATAATTGTATGTACAAAATAATGAGAGAAATCAATTGATGT